ATCTCTAAGACGTGTGCACACACATGTTTCCCATCTTCATGTTTCATTTCCATTAGGGCTTCAGTGAGATTGAATTTTTCAAGCTTTCGATCACGTGGGTTTGGGAGAACAATAGGAGGAGGTGGAGGTAGTGAAGCATGATCTCGAGTTCCTCGATCGTATCGTGGAATGTCATCTTCATTTGGAAAACTTGGTCCAAGGGATTTGGGATGACCATTGTTAGATTCAGACATTTACAAAACGGGAGAAAAATTCAAGTTAGTTGATTGAGTCCTTAATAAAACACCCAAATGAGATATTAAGGCTAGGACCCAACACAATGTTATACAACATGGAAGAGGGATGCCGTAATGCAGTTGCAGAACATTTGAAGGTAAGTAAATGACGATTTACCAATTTCCACCATGAAAAACGAAAAGGATTTTAAGTTTTAAATGAATTGAAACTCCTAGATCTTTTGATATTCATTGAACTTTTCAATGGCATGTTTAATCTCGATTATGCCCTTCATTTGTGACTGGGATGCCGAGGATCACAAATAAGGTGTGAATAACCATGCGAATGTACTTGGTGCACCCAATGTCACTATCACCTAATCAATGTGCCGATTAGCCACACACACTCCATTGATCTATGACAAACATCGAGCCATCCTTCGCCCCCAGTTCCAATCCCAAATTAGTGTGCCGGTTAACCACACACGCTCCACTAATGTCTCGACAAGGGTACAAAGTGTAATTCCGTGGATTAGCATACAATTTCACATTTTGCCTAAAGTAACTAATATTTGGGAATTTATAAAAGCATTTAGTTACTTTGTATTCATTATACTTATAATGGAAGGGGTTTGTCCTATCCTACCCGTTCGGCTAACGACCCTCCACTAGTCAAGAGTGCGGTGGGTAAGAGTGGATACCCAATGGCGGTCATTTTACAGGCCGCTTCCTTAAACACCCCTTATAGACCAGCTTCGTGAATGAGGCCTACTAACGGTAAGACTGACTGTTTACTCATATATATATATATATATATATATATATATATATATAATATTAGACTTTTAATTTTATATATAGTTTAAGGGTGTATTTTATACTTTTAAAATACTAGGTGGTCTAATTTAATAATTTATACTTTTAATTTAATTAAATGTAAACCAAAACTTTATGGATTTATTAACTCTCTTTTAATTATACACTTAATTAACTTAATAAAATTATAAGCGTGTAATTTGAACTTTTCAAAGTACTAGGGTTTTAAAATTGAATATTTCAATATTAAACCTTTAATCAAATTTTAAATTCCAAAACTTGAGGGAAAGTTTTGAACTTTTCAACACATTAGGGTTTGGAATTCAAATATTTCAAAATCAAACTTTTAATCAAAATTTAAATTCCAAAACTTGAGGGCAAGTTTTTGAAACTTTTCAAAACTTTATCAAGAACATTTTAGATCAAAAAATCAAATAAGGCAATTAACAATTAATTGGTGGTTATCTAATTTTGACCTAATCCAATTTCATGCAAGATAATTCATCAAATAATTCAAATAATCAAATTTTATCATATAAGGAAATAATTATTCAATTAATATGAAATTATCTTTTATTTTGGCAAGGATAATCACCCAATATCATAAAAATCCGAATTTTATTAATAAAAACGTTTTGGTAATTATCCCACAGCAAAATAGGCATAAAATCCTGATTATTCCTCTGTCTGACCCCTGGACTTGCCGAGTCAGGGACTGGACTCGCCGAGTCGGCCTGACTCGCCAAGTTCATCCACTGACTCGCCGAGTCAGGGATTGGACTCACCGAGTTCATCTACTGACTCGCCGAGTCAGTCAGGCAGAATGCTCAAAATTCGATTTTCAGGCAATAAACGATCAAATAAGCATCAAATACATCAACAAACAGCCCTAGGCTGTGATACCACTGATGGGTTTTGAGCACTACATGATTCCTATGGTGTACATACAAACCCTAAAGCTTTGGATCTAGTTTGTCTAATATACATGCAATGATAATCCAAAGCCATAAACCCTAGATCTAGCAAGCTATGAACGAAATTAGGATTTAGATATTACCTTTTATTGTTATGTAGCAATAACAATCTCAAATCCTCTTGTAATTAGCTTTTAGAAAGCTTAGTGCCTCAAGTGTTGCACCTCTAATGGAGTCACAAACACCACTACCAATAAGGATGAAGAAGGAGGAGAAAGAGTAGGATCCAAAAACGTCTGGGGTTCTCTTAGAAGTGTTAGCCACGTTTTTGGGAGCCCTAGGGGTCTTTATATACTTGTGTGGGTCGCTAGGGTTTCAGGTGAAACCCTAATTCTCTGCTTAGGCCTTAAGCAACTCATGGAGTTCCCTCAGAAATCCCTTGGACGAAAATCATATGGGCTTCCCATAGATTTCGTCCAATCCCCTTTCCATTAGGAATCCAATAGCCCAATTGCAACTATCATATAATTACAATTCCAGTCCCCTCAGTATAATTAATCTCTTTAGCCACAAAATTAATTCTTAATTAATTCTTGACTAATATTAATTAAACAATATGATTTCTCCTTTAATATATTATTCTCATAATATATTAAAAAATCATAATTAATCCTCTTTCCCCTTAATTCATCCTACCAGTTGCTATGGTGAAGGCAACCCAAAAGGACCATGCTCACAATCGGGTCAAGTACGTACCATAATAGTTATGGACTTAGACACTAATCCGACAATAGCATACATGATCAATCCAACGGTGGAAGCATAAGGAACTCGACTCATTTCTTCTATCTTTGCATCAGTACTCGGACATTGAGTCTTACTCAGCTTGGTAGTACTTTGGATAGGCAACTCTCCTTTCTTGAAATTATCCATGCTAAAAATGCTTTACCATTTTATCCAAATACATACTTTAACTAATTCCAATTAGTCTTTTAGTCCTAACTCTCAAAATCCTTATTCCCATAATATAAGAAGCCTCTCCCAGATCCTTCACAGTGAAACACTTTCCAAGTCAAGACTTAACCTCTTGCAAAGTTGGAATGTCGTTTCCTATAAGAAGTATGTCATAAAAATATAATACCAGGAAGGTGACTATACTTCCACTAGCTTTGACATATACACAAGATTCATATTCACTTCTAGAGAAGCCAAACTCTTTAACTTTCTCGTCAAAGTAAAGATTCCATCTGCGAGAAGCTTGTTTCAATCCATAGATTGATTTCTCAAGCTTACACACTCTATTGGGGTATTTACCATCCACAATACCCTCTGACTTACTCATATAAACATCCTCACCCAACTTCCCATTAAAGAAAGCGATTTTGACATCCATATGTCAAATTTCATAGTCATGAAACGTAGCTATGGCGAGCATTACCCTAATAGATTTAATCTTAGCTACTAGTGAGAAGGTATCATCATAGTCAACCCCTGGGGTTTGAGTAAAGCCCTTCACAACTATTCGAGCTTTGAAGGTGTGTACCTTTCTATTGTAATATGTCTTCGGCTTGATTCCTTCTTCGGGAGGGATGGAAAAAGTAGGCCTGAGAATCACAACAAAGAAAACAAGACCGTTAGTCGTCTTCCGGGAGGTTGTCCCAGAACGATGCTCTGACGATCAAGTCAGTTTGAGGTACTGATGAAAGGGTGTGAAAGTGTGAGACAAAAGGTTAAAGTTGAATTTTAGTCCCTTCTCTTGGAGGAGAAGAGACCTTTTTATACGTGGAATATGGGGGACAGAACCTCGACCATATCTTCTACTTTTTCAGGTCTGGCAGGTACAAAAGGCTTCTGATTGGTAGATCGTGTTCCGTGCGTAGCTGTCTGTCATTGGTGCAAGGCTACTAGAGGCAACGTTCTAAGTGGTATACCTGTCACTCAGGGGGACGGATGGCACTATTTTGTCTCGAATCTAACTTTGACGCTTGGGCGCCAAGGAATGAGTTTGGGATCGTAGGGATGAGGGCGAGAGCGGGGGCCTGGCGCTAGGCACACCCCGACCTTTGCTCAAACCGTTTGACGGTTCCGTTTTTTTATGAAGTATTCTTGGTGGGATACGTCAACAATTCCCCTAGGCTAGTAGACATCAACATTTTCTTAATGTAGCTGAGTAGTTCTAGCTTAGATCTGGGCACGTGTTTGATGGGAACGGTCTCTGACATATAATAGAGTCGTTGCGATAGTGTCGCTTCGTTCCATTTTTTCTTCTTCTCTTTCTTCCTTTTTCCTTTTATTTAAGGGTTCTCCACGTTTTAGAAGCGGTTATACACTTCCTCTTCCTGTAATCTACCGTACCATTCTTTATTTTCATTTCTTCTTTTACCCATATTTTTTTCTCTCTGGTTCTTGAAGGCCTCTGCTAGATTTGGAGTTGTTCCTACACCCGAGGAGTTCGAGTCTCTCCAGTTTCGATTTAGGTTCATTCCTGAGCATGGAGTTCAATTCCTGTTGGAAGGGTCTACCATATATCAATCACTGGACGGGAAGGTGGGGATTTCGCTGGCGATCTTCGAGGCCGGGTTTCGGTTTCCCTTTTTAGGTTTCTTTGATGAGGTTATGCAAGAATATAATTTTTCTATCCACTACTTGACTTTGAATGCTATGAACAATATAGTTGGGTTTAAATTAAGGTGTCGAGCGTTAGGAGTGCTTCCCCATCTTCAAGCATTCCAGTCTTTCTTCAATTCGTCTACTCATTCGGGCATTCACACTTTTTCTCAGCTCCGTAATACTCATTCCTTTATTGTCAACCAGAAAGCACCTCGGAAGAACTGGCAGGATCGATGGCTATGGGTTAGCAACGACTTGGTTAGAGCTAGCTATCCTCACGTGCCAATGGTTTCGGATCAGGCTCCCCAACTTTTGGGGGTTAGTCTGGCGGTGGCACGCTCGTTAAGAGGAATTTGTTCAACGACGAAGAATGGATGGATTGTGTGTTGGCAACGGCCATAATAAGTGCTGCTTGGCGGTCTCGTGGGAAGATAACTTAGTTTATATGGACAACGATGGTAAGTGTTACCTTTCCCCTCCCCTTCCTCCCCCTTTTTGCTTTCCTTTGCTTGGTAACTGGTATCTGCTACTGAGAAAAAGGTGGTTTTGTGTTGTTTATAGTTTCAAGTAGCGAGAGGTTTCTGTCTCTTGAGCAAGTGCTATGGGGGGATTTTGAGGGGGGACCTACAGTATCACGAAGTCCCTCTGGTAGAGACGCTATCAGCCCTATCTTTGAGGGTGATGTCCCTCCTCTCAAGGCGGGGGCCCGAGGATCGGGTGTGGCTAGTGGTAAAGTTGTCTCTCATTGGTGGTCTGATGCTGTTGATTCCGCCCACGAGGAAGATGTCAGTGGCAGTTCTATCAGCCGGCGGTTGCGTCAGAAATGCAACATTGATCCTCTATTTTCCCAATCCCCTGTTGTTATCGACATTGCCGATACTGATGACCCGCAACCTGTGGAAACAGTGGATTTGCATTGGCCTGATGAGCTAGGCATTGTGGGCAATTACTCCGTACCTCTCTCTGTTCTCGGTGATGCCCCATAGGCGGCGGGTCCTTCTTCTTTGGTTGTGACTGGCGTGTATCTCCCTGGGTGGAGTCTCGCACCCTTTTTCGGAACAGGGGCCTGCCCGTGAATGGTAACGACATACGTTTCCCCCAGCTACCCTGGGGGCTCTCAAATCTCTTTCCTATTCTCACATGGCGAATGATCTTCAATATGTCGCTACTCAGGTTGCTCCCTTCTTAGTGGCGGTTGTTGGTCGTCTTCGTTACATGGGGGATGATTTGGCGGAGTTGGATGGTGTTAAATCCGAGCGTGATGAGCTTGCAGAGAAGGTGTGGCTTCTTGAAGAGGAGCGAAGAAAGTTTGATGAATGCTACCACGTTCTGTCAAGGGAAAAGACCGTTGTGGAAGCTAAAGTGGCGACCCTAGATGGGGAGGTGGATCTTTTATCTCAGCAGGTCCAAAATTTTGTATTGAAGAAAGAAGCATTGGTGGAGCATTTGGCACTACGAGACGATGAGTTCGCCTATGAGGTCTCGAGGAGGAGAAGCTTGGAGGCTGATTTAGCATGGGTTCTCCATAAGGAAGTGGTTCGGGTGGTGGATCGTGTTATTGAGAGCAGTGAATTCACGCTTGGGATTCGTTGCGTGAAGGCTACGTGTGGGGCTGCTGGTGTAGATAAGGGGAAGTAGGTGGCATGCGCGGCCGACTAGTAATAACCCTGACTCGTACGATACGGACACTGTGGCACAATCTATTGAAGCGATGCATGATGCCATTAGGGCTTTTGCCGAAGAGGATTTCGCTTCCTAATTTTGTTTCGATAAGCTCGGCCTTGCTGATATTTGCCAATTGTGATCTGAAGAGGAGGAACACGTGGCAGATGGTGACGTTGGGAGCACTGCTTTGACTCAACCTCGTCAGGGTTAATTCACATTTTGTTTTTGTATGTTTGTTGTTTAATCTCTTTTTTTATGTATTGTGTAGAATGTTGATGTATTCGCTCTTGTTGCTTCTTCATCACTAATCTTTGCCCGTTCTTACGAGCTTCTTTATATATATATATATATATATACTAGCCGTTTTACCCGCGCCAAGCGTCGGGTGCGAACAGTTTTTTCAGATTTTAGTTTTAGAGGCGATTAGTTTTTTGTGCAAAAGTTTACTACATCCAAACAATTATTAATAAGAGTCATTCTCATAGAAACGAAATCAATAAGAATTACAAATAAAAAGTTAGGTTTCATTACAAATATAGATGAACACTTGGTGCTTTCCAGCAGTCTGATATGTATATAAATGAAGATATTTACAAAAGAACATATGGTAAAACACACTAAACTAAATATACATTACTGACTCAATGGTGTTGAATAGTTTTTCTGGACAATTATTCAGAAATATGTTATGTTTTAAGAAAATAAGTTACTTTCAACGAATCGTTCCTTCAGTATTTATATGTCATTCGGAAATGTCTTTTTTGTTGTTTTGGATTAAAAATAGAAATATGTTTAATGTTTTTTGCTAAAAGAGAAAATGTTGTTCCAGATTAAAAACAAAAGTTCATTGTTGCTTTTTATATAAATGTACAATATTGATTAAAAACGCGATTAAATCTTCATTTTTTGGTATGATTCTGATTTATGTTGTTTTTTTGTCACAATAGGCAGATAATTGATAAATCGACGCCTACATGGAGACTCTTAATTGGGCTACGTGGTCAACTGAGGTCAAATGACAAATCGACGTTTAGACGGAGATCGTTAATTGTATTATAATTTATTCTTTAAATATTAAATATTACATATCTTCTAACAAAATTAATAAATATGACAGTTTTTTATTGTTATTTATTTATTTTTGATATAAAGTAATTTATTAAAAATTTATTCAAATATTTATATATCCTTAGAAAATAAATATTTGAAATTTTAAAATTTTGGTTTAGTATTTGAAATTTAGAAAATTTAAAATTGCTGATGTGATATTTGAAAATTTAAAATTTTAAAAAATAAAACCTACTTGACAAAGTTGTCATTTTTGTTTACACGACAAAACCTAAAAATATAACTTTTTGGAGTCCTTTTGAACATTTTGAATACAATAATTTAAGTCAAAATATATAGTTCATATTTATATGTAGATTTATTTCCTGCTTTCCTGATCTACACAACTTTTTTGTCAGATTGAAATGTATAGTTTGTATTCATTCAGGTTACTAAGTTATAACGAATAAGCTTTTTTTTAAATCCTTAACCATAATTAAGATATATTATAATAATAATTGAATATGTTGTAGTTGTAATTTAATTGATTATGAAACTTGGCTCTCATAAAACACTCAACTTCAACTTTAACAATCAAATTATTTAATAAATATAACAAAAACTTAATCTATAATCGTCTGATTATCGAACTCTTTTCTCTACATCGGTTTTGGTCCCTAAATCATACTTTAAAACTCTCTACACATCTAATTATTTTTACACCTTTTAATAAATAAAACTACATTAACGTACTTCTATTTATCAATGGGCTAAACAAATATTAAATTATTTTTATGACAAAACTGTAAGATTGGTCCCTGTGGTATTCAAAAAACTTTGGATATGGTCCAAAACTTTTCCAACTTGCATGAAAGGTCCAAAATCAAAGTTTCTCTGGGTTTTTAGTCCCTGATACACTTAAAAAGTCGATTTTGCCATTTTCATTTCTTTTTTCTATTTTCTTTATTTATTTTGGTATTTAACTAATTAAAAATGAAAAATAAAAAAGTAAAATCTCTCTCTCTCTCTCTCTCTCTCTCTCTCTCTCTCTCTCTTCCTGAACCAACATGCCATAGCACACACATCTCTTGATCTCCCCGTCATACCCTCACATATAGACAATCGATCTCTCTAAAACCCCATCTATATAAACGATCTATCAAATCAATCTCTAAAAAAACCCATCAGTATGGATCAATTTTCAATCCATCTGTATGAACAATCGTGGTGGTGTTTTGGCTCCATCAAATCGTCTGTGGTGTTACAACAATGGTGGTCGTGTTATGGCTCTCCGATGAACGGACCTGCGTAAAGGAGGCACCCATTTTCGACTCTGAAAGACGAAGGCTGATGATGGTTTGTGTCACACCCCCGAACCAGACGGCGGAAACGTCCGAGGGCTCGCGTGACTTAAATTGAATATCATCACAATGGATATAAATGAATAATAACATAAACATCACCATGCATCAATAGATTACAACTGATATTGTTCACATCCAATACATTGTTTTAAATATTACACATCCATAACATAAATTGTTTAAGAGTTTTCAAAACATAGCTTCCTGACATACTTGATATTACCCTGCAGCTTACCTGTTACCTGAGAATACAAGTTATTTTTGAAAAACGTCAACATATGAAATGTTGGTGAGTTCATAAGCAGGGTTGTGATAAAAATGATTTGTGTAGTTTATAAAAAACCCAGAAAATCCGATATTTTCTGAAAAGACAATTGTTTACCAAAGTGTGAAGATCCATAAGTTGATGCATGAATGATTTCAAAACGTGTATAAAAGTGAGTTTTGTATTATGGTTATAGAAAAATACAAGCGAGTGGTGTTGATTTCCTCGAAAAACCCGATGTTTTCCGATAACATAAAATATAATTGTTTTTCAAATTGCTATACCGCCACAACGAATGATTTTGATTACTCTTCCTTGATTACTCGGATGGTATTGGATTTAATTAATTATGTGAGTCGTTATAACCATGCATAATAATGACTAGTTCGTCTGTCTTGGCAACCTAACGTTCGCCGGGATTGATCTTAAGATTTTGTCACCCTAGACTGGCCGAGTCTAACTGTAGCGAACAGCTGAGGTGTGGGGGAGTCACCCCCGTATAGATCTATACACAAACTCTCGCTCTCCTTCCAGGAGACTTTGATTATAACTACAGACTACGAACGACCCTTAGAGGTGTCGCCCGTTATTACTCACTTAATCCAAACAAAATTGATTACTGTTGATTAACGACCGGGATTTGTTTACTTTGATTTCAAATAAGCCTAACAGACACAGAGAAGAGGAATACAAGGTCCTGCTAATTACGCGTGTTATTTAAGGCTGTTGGTTATACGAAGGACACATTGGCCCATTTCATATTTGATTAAATTTGGACCTTACTAGCAATGCTAACGGGCCACCAAGGCCCAATAACACATATAAGCCATTGAGGGTCCCTTAAACATGTAATTGGGTCACACGAGGTCCAATAGACATGTGTTATTATCGTCGAACCCAAAAGTCACGTTAATGGGTCACAAAGGCCCACTAAGCATGATTAAGATCTTTCAAGTCCAACTATTTGAATATTTACGTGTTTTAGGTATAATATAATGGTCGGAAGTTTGATTGAAAAATTGTTATAATCTCAACAGCACGAAACTTGTCGGTTGTTTATAACGATAATTGAAAATATATGTATATTTTTCCTTCTATTTTCACAAGTTGTAATGTGGTATTCTTTTTAACCCAAATGTCTTAAAACCAAAATAATTGACTCAAAATATTGATTTGACCCATTCAACCCTTTCTTTAATAAAAATGACAATTTTAGTCCCTTACATAAAGAAAAGACATTTTAGGCCCTTAACTCATTTTTCTTGACATTTTTTACCATAGACTTGTTTAAATAAAGGTTTTTAGCTCAAAATTTACTCTTTGACAGTTTCAGCCCTTCCAATACAGAATTTTCAGTTAAAACCCAATCTTTTCGCAACTTTTACATTTTTGGCCCAATTTCCAAAAACTTTACATTTTTATCCTTTTTGGAAAAGAAAAGCATTTTAACCCCTGAATTGGTTTTGTTTACACTTTTTACCTCCTGTTTTGTGAAATTTATCATTCAGCCCCTTCAAAGTTTGGTTTTTCGCAATTTTGGGCTCAATGGGCCGAAAAGCCCAAAAATTGGCCCATTAAGCTACAAATTACATTTCTAGTCCTTTGAAGAGTATAATATTCATAAAAATATTTATTTTTAACTGTT